TCTGATCTGGTTGTAGCTATGCTCGTCCACAGTTATCTGTTGTCGATGGCTCCTTCCTGAGTATGAGATGTGCCGGTCTTTCCGGCAAGTGCTGTGATCCCATAATCGAGCAGTGAATGGGGCGACTGTCTTTAACCTCTGTTGGTAACTCCTTTTTGGCGCTGAGTTATGCCGCTCCTTCCATGGTATGCAGTCTTCCCATCTTCTCTGGAGTCTTGCTGTTTAGGCAACCGATTCTTGTACGACCCCAGTCTCTCATCTTTCGCTGTTTCTTGTCTTCTGTCGAGGTTTACTTGATCTTCCGCCATCTGTAGAGGGTATCATCATTCTGATTTCCTCTTAGATTGTCCTGCAATTTGGTCCTCAGCAACTCTCTTCCCGTATGACCCTTACTGCCACTTCCCGATGTGTCCAATCTGGGCCTTACCCGTCTTTCGAACCTGGTTGGGGGTGTTAGTTAAGAGGAGAAGTTGGGTGTGTTGTTCAGTGGGGGGAGTTAAGGATGGAAATCTCAGAGTGTTGGGTCTCCCGTCCGGAAATATGACTCTTCTTGTCTGTCAATCCCAGCCTTGGAATTGTAGGCTTCCTTTCTCTATCTGTACCATTCTGTTCTCATAGAACCAGATTTCCTCAAACCTCTTCTGCCTTGATTCGCGTTTTTCTGGATGTGTTAGCCTCTGTTGTTCTTTTTGTTCCTTCGCCCATCGTGCTCTGATTTCCGTTTGTATCGTGGATTTTACTTCTGCCCATCTTTCCTCCATGCTTGGGAATTGGGTGTTCAGAGTGCCCTTACACCTTGCTTTCCATATTACCCAAAGGGTCGATCTCCTCCATAGGTCAGCCAAGGGGATTTCTTCTTCTTTCAGGTCACAGTCCTCGGTTCTTCCCGCCAGTATGTAATTTGTTCCTGAAGGAAAAGTGCGGCCTGTTACCTTATTCCATCCCTTTTTTGTTTTCTCCCATAGTTCTTGGGCTCGTTGGCAGAGTAAAAAACAATGAGTCAAGGACTCTTCACTACCTTCATTACACACTCTACACCATGCTGATTGAGGTTGGATATTCTCTTGTCGTCTTCTTTTGCTGAGCCATTGATTGACCGGTACYGCCCAGTAAATTATGAGCCATTGCAGGCTACTGATTCTTGCCGGCCTTATAGTGACAAGCCTGGACCAGGGTATTCTACCTGTCCAGCCCGCGTTTTCTCCTGCGTTTTTCTTCCATCTATCATTAATTGCTGGTGAAGGATCCTTGGTGATGTTCAATAGTCTGTATCCCGCWCTTACCTCATAATTGTGCAGAGGGATAAGTTTTTTGGCTCTTCCGCTTCTGCYCGGGACATACCATCCCCATTCAGCTGGGTCTACTTCCAGTTCTTCAATAGCTAGTTCCGGTCTATAGATCCAGACCTTCTTCTGCTCCTGTTCAGGCTGTGAATTTCTTTTATGATTGTTTTTGGGCGTGCAAGCTCGAACTTTTTTTAGGTTTGAGAGTTCCATTATTACCCTTTGCTCTAATATTTTCTCTGGTTTTACCCAAGTTTTGTGGGTATCTGTTAGTTCCCAAGATTCGAACTCTGCCTTTCCTTCCCCTACTTCCAGCATTTTGATCAGCTTGTAACCCTCGTGCGGTATGCTTGTACCTCTCCTTGTGGCCCATTTCCCTATACACCATTTGGTTCCGGATTTCAGCAATAGCTCCCATTTCAGCGGAATGYTGTTGAGCAAATTTTCTRGTTGKTTTCTCAGGTTGTGTATTCCTTTAAGTTTGGTTCTCAACTCTTGTGCTGTAAACCATCYGTTCTCTTCTACATTCCACAGATGTTCTACTTTCCATACTCCTTTACCCACCCATTTTCTCCACTGCCTGCCCTTRGAGTTCAATGTCCAAAAATTGTTATTTTGGTCTTTCAATAGCGGATTACCAAATAGAGGTTGTCTCAAAACCTCTTCTCTAGATTGTGGAGTTCTATTTTTTTGCGGGAAACAGCTTCTCCAGTGTTTTATCAGGGTGGCCCAACGCTCGCTGGGCGGGTCTCTATTCTCCAACTGTCTTTTTCCTTCCTTTCTTGCAGGGGTCCATGCTGGGTTGAGTAACCAATGGTATCCTTCTATGTTGGAGTCCACTTTGAAAGGAACAAGGTTGCGGATCTGGTGCAACGCCATGTTGTGCCATGGAAGCTCTCTGTTGAAGATAACTTTGATTATCCATTTTATTTGCAGTGCTTGGAATTGGGACGCTGGGTTCAATACGCCTAGGCCCCCTTGGGCTTTTGGCCTCGTTGAGTACAGTCCTTCCTGGGTTTCCCCACCTCCCTCTTCCCAGCCCCTTCCCCCCCGGCCAATCCATATGTGCCATCCATCCCCCTTTCTCCCCTCCCAGCCAGTCCGAAGAGACATATTTTGGATCCCTTGTCTGATATCCTTCATTTGAATGCAAAATTGAAATTTTTCTCTTGTTTGTTTCCATTTAGCCTGCAGTACCAGGTGGGGTACTTCCTCTTCCATTTTCCTGCTCTGTCATGACCCGTCCATACATGGACTGGAACACACAACTGATTTCTGAGTTTTGCCCATAGACTGAATGCCCTGCTGAGTTTCCCGCTTGCTACTAAGTCTGTGTGTGCACGCTTGCTGGACTGCATGTCTGACTGAGTGTTGGTTGGCTTGGGTGTGTGTGTGGCCGTGCCTGTCTGAGTGCTGGTTGGCATGAGTATGTGTGTGGCCCGTCAGGGCACTTGCTCGTTCGTTGGGCCCTCAGGGCCGGTGCTTACCTGTGGCCGTGACATTGAGGGGTTGCAGCGGGGAAAAACACTCAAGTAGCGGGTAGGCCGGTACCGCACCTGGAAGGGGTAGATGTGCAGGTACCGGAGGCCGAGCAGAAGAAGACAAAAGTGGCATTTTTAGAGGCCCAGTAGTTGTAGGTTAGGTCTAGGCGGATATCAGTCCAACCAGTCTGGGTCTAGGGCCTGTACGGGCAATATCAGAGTCTGCAATGATGTTTCCCTCCGAAAGGGAGGAGGTACCGGTTGCTTGGGAGGCCGAGCGGCCTGGAAGTCACCGCCCAAGAGGCAAAGCACGCCGCTATATCTTCTGGCCGGGCGGAGAGTCCGGCCTCTTTTTCGGTGTGCAAGTTTGGCGACACACTGGTGGAGCGCTGGCTGGAGCAGCGCTATGCTGGAGCAGGGCTGCTGGGGAGGAAGGAGAAGGACACGAGGGAGGAAGAAGGAAGGAACGGGGAGGAGCGCCAGGGGTACTTACCTGGCTATGGTGGCAGCCATCTTCATCACCTTGGTGGGCGCTGCAGCAAGGAGTCCCCAACCGGGGAGAACCACACCAAGAAGCTTCAAGGCAGGGTTGGGCATGGTGGTCTGAGCTAGAGTAGCCATAGCTGCTTTGGGTTGTCCTTTGGGCATCTGGGCAAGGCCTAGTAGTCCGCCATAGCCTCGGTCTATGAGAGTGAAGAGTGGGGAGGCGGCCATGGCTATGGTGGACCTCAAGTGATACCTGCAGTAGAAGAGGGACTCGGACATTGATTCTGGATCAGCCATTCAACATTGTACTATTATTTCTTGTATGAATAAGAGAGAAGGGGGAGATAAGGAGGAAAATATTGTTGGGCGAAGAAGAAGAGCCTTGTCATTGTCTTTGCTGGTGTACATCTTCTTCTTTTTCTTTCTTACTTCTTCTTCTTCTTCTAATCCTCTCTCTCTCCTCTCAACTTCATTCATTTCTTTCTGCAATTGGACGGCATTGTCCTTTCTGATGGATGTGTATCTCGAAATTGGCCAGGATCATAACAGCTCTGCGTTTTCACCTCCTCCGTTCCGACATCTGAAAACCAATGACTAAGCAGAGGGTAGGAGGATTCACAGAAGAAACAAAATGAGATGCCCCCTGGAACCAAGCACTCAATATTGTGTTACAGACTCTCACTCAGATACGAATGCTTCTTCACACAAAGGGGAGAAACACACGGACTACAACAGTGCAAGCTTGCACAGTTCCCACATGCAAATGGCCTTTACTATCTCACAAGTGAACACATTTGGCAACTACATACTCGGGTTATTGTAGCCCAAGCTAGCTCAGGCACTGAAGGTGATTTATTATAGCCCTAGCTCACTTGACAAGCATGGTTGGTTATTGCACACTTTGCGAACTTGAGACACCCCAAAAGCCATCCTGAGCTATCACAGCCCAAGCTAACTCAAGCACCCACAAGGCTATGTAGGATGTAACTGCGGTCCATGCTAATTGAAGCACCCACTCACATGGATAGGTACAAATGCTCAATCACGACATGTTCTCACACGCTTCCACATATCAAGTGTGTCCACGCACATAAACCCAGGCATGCTGGAGAGGTCTCAATCCGAGCCCCTCTCGACAATGGAGGATGGCGGACCAAACAAGACCTAGTAGTGGGGGATGCTCATATCACCCTCCCTATTAGGATCTACAGAGTCTTACCCCCCCCCAAAAGAAGAAGAAGAAGAAGAAGAAGAAGAAGAAGAAGAAGAAGAAGAAGAAGAAGAAGAAGAAAAAAGAGTACCCGATCGGGCCAGCTTTAGCCATGCAGGTTCAGGCATGCCCATAGTCAATCGTGCAACCCCAGGTCTGCACAAGCACAGTGAACCAGATCCGGGCAAACCCATGCACCCTGAAGCGAGCTAATGACATAACAACATGTGCATTGTATTTGGGCCTACTTACTAAAGAACTTCCAGGAGCTTGATCACATTTGCATGAGGCGAGAGCCTCCGCAAGGCTTGAATTTCTCGAAGATTGTTCACCTTCAGCAACCCAGACCAGCCAAACGCAGAGATAGTCCAGCCAAGATGTGCACGAAAGCCATTAGTTTTCAAAAAGTCCGAAAATTAAAAAATATTCAGTCCAGCCAACATGTGCATGAAAGGCAGTAGTTTTTGAAAAGTCTGAAAATTAAAAAGTTTAGTCCAGCCAGGAAAGGAACCGGACTGACGCTCCCCAGAATGGATATGGAGCCAGGACCATAAGGACCTGTTTCAAAAAAAAAAAGGAAAAAAAAGTGTAAAAGTTTAGTCCAGCCAACATCTGCATGAAAGCCATTAGTTTTTGAAAAGTCCAAAAATTGAAAAGTTTTGGGGTTGAGGGGCCAGCAGCCTAGCTCACTTGGTAGAGCCCGAAAGCTGCATTCAGGAGGTTGTGGGTTCGATTCCCTACACCTTCCATTCCAATCCCCACGACCCCCTGTGGCGCCCGGTGGGTCCTGGTGGGTTCACCAGCTGAGATAGTTAGCTGCCCCCCCGCCCCCCACCCTGGTTGGTTGGTAGAGGGGGGCGTAGTCCCTTCCACTCATTGTTAGGAGTTAGGTTCAACCCTCAGGGCAAAGGATCAACCCATAAGACGTGGATTGTTCCGCTTAGGGTCAACTGGACTCTGAGATAGACGTAGGCATGAGGTTAGGTAGTGTAAGGTATATTTGAGCAAAGAATATAGTTTAGTGTATTTTATTTTTCTAAAGAAAAGTTTGGGGGGATTGAGCAAGATCCTTCGCCTCCAGCATGACTAGATCAAAAGACATGTCCTGTGGCAGTCCATTCCAAGAGAACATGGTAAGGGCTGACTCTGTAGCGTTGAGTTAGTGTAACCAGAAATGAACATTCATCAAACTGAGACAATTATATATGTACTCTCTGCAGAAGCACAATCATCCGGAGATACATTGAAGGGGGCATGAAGCAGCCAGACCTCACCCATAGCAGTGACATAACTGTGGGCTATTCCAAACTCTCCTTCCGACCCTCTTCTTTGCCTCTCATTAACCTCTGAATCTTCTTTTCTTCCCCCCTTGATAGGCCCTTGAAAATCTGTAAAAGTGCCCGTATGGGACGTATCCTCTTTTGTGTCAATTTCGATTTCGTTTTTTTTGTTTTTAGAGTGTGGGAGGCTAGGCTACCGGGGGCATCTGGCCGAACATCCCCAGCCAGGGACCCATGCAAATCGCCTGGCTGTCCACCCCCCGAGGTGCCCTGAGGATGTAGAAACTCCAGAAATGTTTTTCTCTCCCGTTGGTGGGGCTTTTCTGTACCCCGGAAAGCAGCCCGAATCTGGGCTTCGTTTTGTCTTCAGTGATGTCCGTTGAGGGAGGGGAAGGGGGGTATAAATGGGGCTTAAACCACCAGTACACCAGTACTTCCGAAAGTCGCAGCTGCATGGAGTAAATTATTGAATTCATTCAAGTGGAAACGGCCAGCACTGTAGCGATGGCTGGCTGCATGCAAGCTGCAACTTCTGGAAGTACTGGTGGTTTGAAGGGGCTTAACATGGTTAAAAGGGTGGTGTGCAAGCAACCAATCAATGAGAACTCAAATAGACTCATAGCAGATGTGAGCAGAGTTGAAAGCAGAATTACAAAGCCGAGACCGAACGAAAACACACTCAACACTGGTGTCCCTTGACAAAGAAAGGCCCACTTTTCGACTTCAATAATAAACACAACAACTTTGTAGTAGCTTTACTCTGATGTGCCCGCCTATACTACTATTCCACCCTCACTACACACATCCTGCCTTATTCCCCCGAATACAACGTACGGTCATTATAGCTGTATTTGAGGCATCTTTCAGTCTAGATACAGCTGTAATGACCATACGTTGTATTCATGGGAAGAAGGAAGTACTCTCACTCACACTCCCTATGTCGTCAATCCTCTTGGCATGCTGAAGAGCGTGACCCACCTGAGCGCTCCTCGCCCACCACAGCTAAGTACCACCAGTCCTCACTTCTTCCCCTTCTCCCCGATCCCACTGACCCAGTGCCACCCTCCTTCCTTCCAGCCCAGCTACGACTGCCGCTGGTGGAGCAGCTGTCGGGGGCTCCTCCTCCTCCTCCTCCTCAGCGCACTGTCTGGCCGCTACTTGCTCAAGCAGAGGCAGCGCTGACAGCCAGTGACTCCGAATATACAGCCTGCCTCCGCCTCCTCTCTTTTGACCTGCTTGGAGGCTGAGGCTGGGCCCCACTAGGTAGTCCTTACTGACTACCAGCCTGGGTCTGGGTCTGGGTCTGGGTCTGGGCCTCCGTAACTAACTGGGGTAGTAACTAACCGTGAGGCTGGGCCCACCGGTCAGTTACCGAAGCTGGGGTCCAGCCTCTGCCCAACTGCCAAACGCAACCTTCTCTTAGGGCTGCCCCCTTCTTCTGCTGCCACAGCCTTCACTTAGGGCCGGGGACTTTTTTTATGGGCCGTCCCTTTTCTGAGCTCGCTGAGGCCTAGAGCCTCACATTTCCACGTCCTTGGATTCAAAAGCCCTCTGAGAACCGTTCATCTTTGTTGTTGCTTCCCTTTAAAACGAAAAAAAGAAAAAAAGAAAAAAAGAAAAAACAAGAGCCCTTTCATGCTGATGAACCACTTGAGGTGCAGACTTGATCAGTTCTCCTCTTGTAAACCACTAATTTTCTCTTGGATGCAAGTGATGTCTGAACTTCACCTGGCTTTGGATTGAGTCTGCGGGGGTCTTGACCCAGCTTACCTCTCCGTGTTAGGGTCGCACACGCAGGGGTGAGTGCCTATTGGTTAAGTGGGGTATGGAAATGGACGGATATCATGCGTCCTACTGCTGAAAGGGCTAGATCGTAGGATTGGGTGAGGGCATAGCAGTATCAGAGATGGTGGCTCTGCTACAATAAGTCGCTCCGGAGTAGGCTAAGGGGACTGAAGGGTGGTCCTGAGTGCCGAGCTGGGCCAGCACGGGTAACCTGTGATCGTGGCTGAGATGGTGCTTGGTGGTTTGACCGGGGTTGTGTTGATGCCATTATACTCACAGATTTGTGATTGGCCGAGGCCAGAACGACGCTGGCCGGCGCTGGGGTTTGGTCATGCTGCCCTGTAACCCGAGCGAGGTGGGGGCATGAGGCCTGGTAGAGAGATCCGGGGAGCTGCCGAGGGAGGAAGGCACACCAGTGGCTATTTATGGGTTGTTACCAAAACGAGGCTGGCCGGAGTCGAGGTGGGTCACTCTGCCCTGTGACCTGGCAAATGGGGGTGTTCTGAGGCGGGCCATGCCGCTTCGTAACCTAGCAGTTGGGGGCGTGAGGCCTGGTAGAAACTTGGTAACGAGGTAGGAGGGTTGAGGCAGGCTTAGGTTTGGGCTGCTGAGTGACATCTGACTGCTAGGTTCCGGTTATTGCAGCCTCCAGAATGATCTTCTGCTTACTACCTCCTCTGAGCCTAGTTCTAGTAGTGATTTGTGGTTCTTCTCACTAGTCCCTTTGAGTTTTTTTTTTAATGAGAATTTTGGTTCAATAGGTCAGAAGTTCAGTCATGTCTTCCTAACTCAGTGTTCCCAGCCGAAGCCGGGTAATAGCCCCAGTGTCTTAACATCTGTACAATTTCATACGGGATGCTGGGCCCGGTTCCTAGCACGTGTTGCTCCCCACGAATAGATTGGAGCATTTGTTTCCCCCCCCCCACCCACAAAAAAAAAAGAAAAAAAAGTGGCTTCGGTGGTCTTCCCCTGACCGATGACTTCTGCACAGGTAAAACCTTGTGGCATGCCCTTTACAATATGGTTAACAATGTCTTGTCTATCTGTAGTTGGGGGCAGCATGGAACACCGAGAAGGGAACCGACTGCACTGTGAGAAGGGCAGGAGTTTGGATGCATGCATGGAAAACACAGTAAGCCTGAAGATGAGGAGGGACATGAATGAAATACAAGGGACTATTAGGGTCATTTCGTACAACGCTTAACACAGTCCAGGGTCAAAAATATTAAGGCATTAATTCTTGTGATATGTCGTGTTCTAGCATAAACTCATACGACTTAAACAATGCCCGATCATCCACCTGGAAAGTTGGCATCCGTCTATGCTGATTTTCTCATTGAACCATAGCCCTTTGAACTTTTTGTAGCCATTCTACTGAGTCTACTGCCTTTTCAAGCCTCTGTTCGTACTCAAGGGTGTACTCAAAACTTCCACGGGTTGATTTCGACTCAGGATTTGCTAACAAAAAGTCTATCGGTGTTCTGTGTTTCCATTTCAAGTATATTTGTTGGGTGTACAGCCTGTTGCCAAGTGTCTGGCATTATTATACAGCCCAGCTACCTAAAGCACTATAATATCCCAATCAAAATCATGGGGAGTTATGTAATGCATGAAAAGCTGCCACACTTGTCCGTTTGTCTGCTCAGTTTGGCCGCTAACCTCAGGATGATTCCCGGCAGTGAGGACATCTCCAGTTTTGTACCTAATTTCTTAGCTGGGTCCCGAGAAAGTTCATTGGTGAACCATACATCTGTACTACTCACAATGGGTTTTTGGTAGACAGTCTCCTACCCCATCTGTACTCAAGAATAGCAAACCGTCTACCATCGTATTATCTTCACACACCTCTCTACCTTGTGTGTTCAGATGTCTACTGATTACTTGAGAATACTGTCTGTTTTGTACGAATTTTCCACCTACTGACGTATACGTGCTGTAACTCAATCGTTTTTTTTTTCTTTTTTTTTCACAAAAACAGAACCTTGCAGTTCAGGCTCATTTCCATGCTGGGGAGCATCAGTCCGGTTCCTTTCTTTTTTTTTTTTTTTTTTTTTTTTTTTTTTTTTTTTACAGGCAGGGCCTTACGGTCCTGGCTCCTTCTATTCTGGGGAGCGTCAGTCCGGTTCCTATTCCACCGGCAAGTCAAAATAATCATTACAAAAGTACTTGTCACTCACGCTTCCTTCCGTCTGGCCGAAGGACCCCTGGACAGCATTGATTGCTCCACCTCGGTGAAGGATTGACTGCCAGCTTGCCCATCCTCTCTC